TAGCTGGGTGTTGTGGTGGACACCTGTACTCCCAGCTACTTGGGAGGCTGAGGCAAGAGAATTGCTTAAGCCCAAGAGCTGGAGGTTGCCGTGAGCTGTGATGCCATAGTACTCTACTGAGGGCAACAAAGTGAGACCCTGTCTCTAAAAAAAAAAAATCTGAAAGATATCTTTTTTTTTTTCAGAGTGAATTTAAGTTTATTGAAGATTCTTTAATCTATTGAACCAGTTCTTTGTTGTTTTTTTTCTTTTTCTTTGTTTTTTTTAATTAGATCATAATTGTGTACATTAATTCTCTCATAGGATACAGTGTGTTACTTCTATATGCAGTTTATCTTAAATTGGTATCTTTAAAAAAGTCAGAACATCTGATTAAGAAAGAAATATGGGAAGTTCATGAAGTTTTCTGTGAATATATGATTTTGGTCATTTGGATTCAGACAGGCCCCAGTTTAATTACACAAATTTTAAATCATTTTGTTTGTAACTTGTAACAGTTTCATACAGAAATTGGAAATTAGACTTGTTGGTAGCTATGAAATTTGGAGTGTCCTGGAATGTTGTGCTCTGGAACCTAGTGGCATGCTATGGAACCTGACCCAGGCGCATTTTTTTTTTTCCCCAGAGGAAAGGCCATTTGTTCTTGTGTCATGGATATCTTCAGAAAAATGCCCATTTCCCAGGTTCCAGCTCTATTGAATAATTGGCAGAGTCACAGTGCATGAAATCTCTATCCCACATGGCCAATAACTAATTACTATATTCAAATCTTTATTCTCTTTTCCTTTAAAAAATAATTTGCTAAAAGTGGTCATAATCACATTCCAGAAGCTGTGTGAGCTTGAATGTTAATGATCAATGTATTAAATTTGCAGCCAGTCCAGTGCCTGCCATCTAGTAAGCACTGCTTAAATATTATCATTACAATTATCATTTGGTAAACCCACAATGAAATGTTCCTAATGTGATAAATGAAGTAACTACATAAAGTAACTACATACAGATGGATTACATGGAAGGGGTGTGGAGTGCGTATCATCCAGGATGAAACTGCCTTGTTTTCTGCCCTTTCCAGAACATTTTCAAAGTATTTCTTAAGGGCTTACAAAAGTTCTAACACATCTGTCAATTTGTCACTTTGTTTTCATCAAAGTTAAACTCCTTCTTTTGCTTATCACTTTTGGAAAGTATTGGTTTACACACATTACAAGCGTAACATACGTATTTTAAGTGCACTGGCGTATTTTAAATTACTTCCTAAAGGGGTACAATACTCCTGTGATCACAGGCTCAGCTGGATTAGCAGTGGCCTTGGGTCAAGGTAGGAGGTTGTTTAAAAAAAAAAAAAGGAGCACTTAATTGGAATTTCACAGTGGTTTTCACATAAACCAGCTTAAACAAAGTTTATGTCGGTATAGCAATTGTGAATTGACTAATCTGTGTAAATATATGTATCGAAGAGGTGACTTAAAATGGTGAAGAAATTCTGTATGATAGAACTACTAGCCTGGTCATGTCACAGAATGGGAAAGCCAGTTCTTTCACCCAAACTGGGGTTGGTACTATAGATTTTGATTATGTTCTTAGTCATGACGGATGTAACACTGCCATTTTGATTACAGCTTTCAAATATTAAGATCGGGCTGTGTATGGCAATATAACAGAGTGTTCAATGAAAACTTTCTTTGGTTGAATTCAATGTAAAGCTCAGATATCTCCACGTGATGTTTATGACAAATGAATATACTTGATCACTTGTCTCAAACCATCCATTTAAAAAAATCTTTTATTTTTCTACTTTTAAGGACATAGAGTTAAGAGTGAGAAAGAATTTGGCTAGAATAGGAAAAATTATAATATTGATAACCATGTTACAAATTTGATGTGATATATAAAATATATTAGCTATCACAAATTTTATATGACATTTATGTAATATCTGATGCCCTGATTCATGATTTCAATGGCATCACTGGTGTTATGATCTTATTTTCTATGTTCTATGTTGAGCAAAACCAAAAACCCTTTTCTGGGAGTTTCTATCTAACATGGTAAATGTTTAAATTTTATGTATATAAAGGCAGCATTTCTAAGTATTTTCATTTTTCCTTCTACCTCAAAAACCAAAGAGGCATACGGCACAATAGCCATGATTTCGTTATCTATAGAGTATTTATTTGGCAGGAGAATACTGTTATAACTGCTTGAGACTAAAAATAATGAGGCAACTTCTGTACTTAGAAATCCTTTTCCATTTTTAAAGAATTTCATATATTCATAACATTAATGGAAATGTAAATCTGCCTAAGTAATGCCATACTCTTGTAAAATAATTTAGGATGTGAAAAATGAAATGATTTATCATGTCTTTGATGGTTTCATAGTCAATATTATAACTGACGATAACTGTGAAAATTCAACAAAATTTACAGAAATTTTTGAACATCAAATGGTTTTCCTTTCCATACTTTTACTTAGTTGTCATATTTTCAAAATAGCATTAAAACAAATATTATATTCCTTGAAAATTGAGATATTCATAAAACTAAAAACATCAATACTGATGACTTTCCATTGTATTATAGGAAGAAAAAGGCATTTATAATTAATCTGCAACTTTAAAGAATTCAGAGCCCTGAAATTCTGTAAAGTATTTATTAGATAATACACTCGTTTTGACATATCCTTCAAATGAATTGGTAAAAATAAGCATATACTTAATGGTTGATTTAAACGCATATTCGCAATTACTGTGTTCTTCAAAAAAGTATGTAGTCATATGACAACAGTATTTGCTGTGTGTGATTAAGAAAAAAAGAAAGAAGTTGCCACTTGATTATGAAGGGAGAATAATAAAGATATAGACTTTCAGGTAATGTTTTCTATTTCAAGATCATCCGTTATGGAAGATACCATGTTTTAGGATGTGTCTGGAAGCAGGGAAGGGGTTAATTCTTCATCCTTACTCTTTCCCTAAGAAAACTAGGGGACTTTTCTATTTCTTTTTCTTTGTTTTTGTTTTTGAGACGGAATCTTACTATGTCACCCTGGGTAGAGTACCCTGGTGTCACAGCTCACAGCAACCTCAAACTCTTAGGCTTAAGCCATTCTCTTGCCTCAGCCTTCCAAGTAGCTGGGACTACAGGTGCCCGCCACAACACCCGCTGTTTTTTTGTTGCAGTTGTCATTGTTGTTTAGCAGGCCCAGCTGATTTCGAACCTGCCAGCCCTGTTGTATGTGGCTGGCGCCTTACCACTGAGCTACGGGCGCTGAGCCAGAGTTTTCTACTTCTTAATTTGGAAAATCATTTACTCAATTAATAAAAATTTACTGACTGTTTAGAATTTACTAGGCACTCTGCTGAGAATGTCATAGTATAAGCAAGTGCTCACTTTCAGGAAATTTTTACCTACATTATATAGCATTAAGCTCATGTATTAAAGGACATGGTGTATTTAAGACATAGCATACAGTAAGTGCTCAATAAAGGAGAGTTATTCACATTCTATGATACCATTCATAGCTATATTCATATATTAAAGCACAGGGTTTACAATTTCATTTACAATTTTAAATTCAAATTAAATGACTTATCATAGTTTATATTTAAACATTTCTAATTTATTGTGGTTTATAATTAACATATAAACTTATAAAAATATAAACAATAAAACTTCCAAAATAATTTATAGGACTTTTTGCACACCAAAATAGGTCTTTTCATACTCTTGCTGCAGGAGCAATCATAACTATTCCATGCATATTTCTTAAAAATTTTATAACTAGCATAGTTTAATAAACTGAGCAGAACAGAATTGTATGGAAACTCACTATACTATAAATATTTAACACATGCTTTCAGGTTAACTAGATTTCTTCTGAGATAAAATGTGATTATTCTCAGATACTCTTTAAAACATGTCAATGTTTGAGAAACACCACTTTTTGTTATGAAATTGCTCAGTAAATTTACTTTCACTAACTTTGGAATCCAACTATCTACTTCAGAGAGCCATCTGGAAAGAAACAGGAAAATAATACAAATTCTATAAAAGTTAAACTTGAGCACATGACGGGCTCAGCACCTGTATGTCAGTGGTTAGGGCACTGGCCACATATACCGAAGGTGGTAAGTTCGAGCCCGGCCCTGGCCTGCTAAACAGCAATGACAACTGCAACCAAAAAATATCCAGGCATTGTGGCAAGAGCCTATAGCCCCAGCCACTTGGGAAGCTGAGGTAAGAGAATCGCTTAAGCCTGAGAGTTTGAGGTTGCTGTGAGCTGTGATGCCAGACTCTACCAAGGGTGACATAGTGAGACTTTGTCTCAAAAAAAAAAAAAAAAGAACTTGGGTACATGATGATTGTTTCTTGGTAAGTAGAATACTCAGAGCTGTCCTACTTAGTATCATAATGCTTAAACACACAAGTCTATTTACATTTAAATCCACTGAGATAAAATGCCTAGTCCCCCAGTTATTCTAGCCACACTGTAAGTACCCAGTGGCTTCATGTGGATAGTAGATTCCTGTCTGGATAGCGCAGATACAGACATTTACATCATCACAGACAGTTCTCTGTATTGCTCTAGGGGGTTTAAATAAAGCAATATTTGCTATTTGCTATTTACAATACTGACCACACAGAAAATGAACTTGGAAGCTAAGTGTTTGACAGCCTATTTGAGCCTTCCCCCCATATCCCCCCCCCATAGAATTGTTTGTCATGCTCTTTGACACATGAATGTTACCCTAAAATGAGTTTAATTTAAGTGTAAGACATAACCTAAGCAAAGGCTCAAAACCCCCCCATAGAATTGTTTTTCATGCTCTTTGACACATGAATGTTACCCTAAAATGAGTTTAATTTAAGTGTAAGACATAACCTAAGCAAAGGCTCAAAACACAAAGCGTGTTTACTCAGTGTCTTTTGGGAAACTGGAGTTTTGAGTTTTTTTCTGAAAGAAATGGCTAATCCATGAGATCGATGCTTTCTCTGCAGTGCCTTCCAAACCTTTTCTTCTGAGCACCCCGTCTTTCTACTCGGCATGTTGTGGTGGGTCCTGTCGGTGCCCTGTGTCCTCCGCTGCTTTTTCAAGTAAGTTTATGCTTCATCAGCGATGCCTCAGTTATTCTGTAAACTAAAGCAGCAGGATTTAATGTGTTCTGGAAAACTAATTGGTAATGCAGTGACAAGGAGCTAATTCCTCTCTAAAAATCACAGCGATCCTATTCAGGAGGTTTCCAGAGATTTATCAAACCTCAGCACACTGAGCAATTGTGAGCGGTTTCTAACGGCATTGAAACCCAGGGCCGCCACGCCAAGGAGAGCGACTTGTTTTCTATTTGATATAAAAGATGTCAGAGGGTCCAGTTTGGCTCTTTCTGAAACACGTAGCAAAAACATCCTTTAAAGAAGTAAAAAAGAAAGGAAAAAAGGCAAAAAAAAAAAAAAATTGCGCTGCATGAAATTTCCATTCAGCTTGAAATGTGACCCAGAAAGTCACTCGGCATCTATCGGAAATAATTAAAAATTGTCACGATCGTAAAAGGGATTAAATCTATCCGTTTTATCGTCTTGAAGGAAACCAACCAGGGTTATAGGAAATACAATATTTTCAAGAGAGTGCTCAACCTTATAAAAGCAGACTTCTAATAGTGTCTGTGGGTGGAATGAGAATGACAAGTGTTTCAGAACTTGTAGTGTGCACCACACTGTCACACGCAGAGAAATGTCTAAACTACAAGTGAAGTTCACCTTGGTCTTGAGATTTAGGGGATGAGAAAAGAATCTGTAGGCAGAGCATTTGAGTTTATGGAGGTGGGGCATGTCTTTGAGCTGCTCGAGAGAAAACCTTTATTGAGGGTAACCACTTTGCCAGGTGAAAAGTGAAAGAGTTGGGTCAGGCTGAAGCACTGAGCTCAGTCACACTTGAATTCAGATCCTGCTCTCTGTGCTTGTGTTTCCTGAAGGTTTCGGGAGACCGGTGGCTGGACAGAATGACTCCTGACAAGTGAGGCAGCAAATGCTGGCCATTTAATGAGCTGCAAGCTCTCAGCATCTCTTTAGGGGGCTGATACTTTCCCACAGAGCATTTTACATGCCTGGGACCCAGCCACAAAGGGCGACAGACCCGTGACCAATCGTCACTTTCACTCGACTCATCCACACGCGACCTCACCACGATTTTTCACTCCGCAGATGAACTTTAGGAACCATTTCACATGGAAAAGGCCTGGGCAAGGGTCACTTGCCCTTTTGTATGACCATAAAGCAAGGCTCTGTGTGTCCGTCTTTTCTCCTGTCTCACATTCCAAGTGAGTTTCGGGACACCATTTAAAGCCCTTGACTGAAAAATAAGGCAGTGAATGAAACTGACTTTTATAGACTCATTCTAGCTCATCTTCCCATAGAACCCTGTCTACCTGAAAAGGGATTTAGTGGATGAGCTGAGTGTAGACAGGGACTTGCTGAATACATAGGACCCATTATCAACTGGGGGGATTGTTTATTAACCAGGACTGATACACTACTATTTTGGAAGTGACCTATTAATTGTCCATTTAACTAGAATGTATTGAATTGAAATAGAAAAATAGAAACCATGACTAAACCTTTTACTCGCTCCTTCAAGGTGGTCTCCTGTGTGGGCAATTGAGAAGCGTTGTGCAAATTAAGGAGACATTTATCTCCTTATATTGGAGTATTGGGAAAGACTTCTGAGTACATGCTTAAAACCCCGTAGTAGCTCTGTGGAATTAAGTCTTTGATGTTAGATTTTGGAAGAGGAGATTAAAAGAGGCCCCATGCTTAGTTATTTCACGCTGATGTAATAGTGGCTTTTACTTTAGCACTTCCCTGGCAGTTCAGGTAAATGGAAATGGACAAAAAAATTCCACGTAACAGGTGGACGTTCACGTATGCCCGTGTGAGTGTGCTATTTTATAGTAGTATTTGAAGAGTCTCTAAGCCACAAAAGTCAAGCCAGTTCAGTAAACAGAACACATAAAAGTAATTCTAAAGACATTTTCCAGGTAACTTTATCTTCTCGACTGCTTGAAAAATTGCAGGTCTCATTTTCCTCCGTCTGCTTCTTAGTCCTTCTCACTTTGTGCCTTTCACATGAGTGTTGTAAATTAGGGTGTTTATCCCAAGAGGTTTATTAAGTCCTGGGTGTATCTGTTTCAAAAAACAAACACCCAAGCTGAAACTCAGCACAGCTCAGATCAGGGCTAGAAAACGCTGCGTTTGGCTTGTCTGCATTTCTAAAGTTGGCATTTTAAAATAGTTTGGTGATGCCACAAGTGTTTTTAATGAACAGCGGTGTCTTGTATTATCATAATAGTTACGACTCCAAAATGAATTTCCTGTTTTCTCATTGATGATGTTCATTGGTACTGACAGAAAATAACAATGAAATGGTGGGATTAAGCTGTCAGTAAAGAATTCTACATAAATGACCGTGATACCAAAGAACAGTTAATAAGTTACTATCTGTACAGTAATCTTTTTATTTAGGCATTTACTAGAATTCCTTTTTTCTTCTTTTTTAATAATAAGAATCGTTTTTACACCTAACCTTTCATATTCATACAAAGGAAAATGAACTGTGGAAGTAAACTTGTAGTAAGTTGCAGCTTCGACAGCCAAGATTAAGGTTCATATTAAAAATTTTAATAATCGGTGAAATCAGTGGCCCTCATCATAGTTTCGCAGTATTAACTTCACTCTTTCCAAAAGAGTAGAATCAGATCAACACATTTCTAACTATGCAAGTGAGGTGTCGTTTCGACTTTTTTTGTATGATTCATTTGTTCAATATTGATTTGGTTGTTACCTTCTCGGATTTACAGTCGACTTCTTGTTGCAATGTGGAAACAATCATTCAGCCAGTGCCCTTCTCACATATAGTTAAATAGTTTAATAGGTTATTTAAGCGCAACTTTAAGGAAAAATTAAAAGGCAGAGGTAAAAGTTCTCCCTTCCCCCAAAGTAGTGTATGGAAAACCTTGATTACATCCATAAGGTGCTTTTCAAAATAACACATTTCACAAATAACATTAAATGAAAGTTGTGGAAATTATGTAAATAATGACTTTTTAAAAACTGCTTAAAAAAATATAAGCCTCTTAATTAGGTAGACTAGATAATTCAACTCATCAGCTCATATTTTGTTTTGTCTTCGAGTACCCAACTTGAGTCCAACCTTTCAAGAATTTTAGCCTTAAAAGATAAAGCTTAGATTTGGAGCAACATTATAAAAATCTGAGCAGGGAACATACTGTTTTGGGACAAAATGCTGTGCCTTTTTCTCAGGAAATGAATGGGCATTCTGTATTTTGAGGTCATCATACTACCTTAGTTTTCTTGTTAAGACTTACAAGCACATAATATACTCTCCAAGTCTGAATTTAAGAATTTGCTGAAGGTGTTAGGCAGGCGTCCTCAAACTGCAGCCCGTGGGCCACATGTGGCCCGCCTAGGACATTTATCCGGCCTGCCAGGTGTTTTTGCCGCCGCTGCCTATCCTGCTTAGCAGCTGACTCATAGTCTGGCCCTCCAGTGGTCTGAGGGACAGTGAACTGGCCCCCTGTTTAAAAAGTTTGAGGACCCCTAGTTGGGGAAGAGACATTACCTTTCTTGCTGTGAATATAGATTGGCTCTGTGAGTTTCATGGTTGAAGATGGGTAATTCATTGATGATTATTCTTGCCACTTGACCTGGCTGTGCTTTTTTTTTTTTTACCGCTGTCAGCAGGAGTGGCTGGTGGGCTGAGGAAACTGACCAAGACCTATGGAAATTCAGAAAAGGCTGCATACAAATTTTTTAAAATAAGGATTCCACACTGTAAGATCTTCAGAGTGATGTAGCGTTTTTCTTTTTCTTTTTTTTTTTTCAGTTTTTGGCCAGGGCTGAGTTTGAACCCACCACCTCCAGCATATGGGGCTGGTGCCCTACTCCTTTGAGCCACAGGCACCACCTGCATTTTTCTTTTTCTAATAGAGAAAGAAGTTTAATTATATTGTCTAAAACATAATAGAGTTTGTGCAATAAGTTGAATATACGTTTTGACTTCTCAAACGTGAAGGGAAGAATGTCTCATAGATAAATGACATTCGGTCAACCAGGAAAAATGTTCAAAGGGATTAGAGACAGAAAGACAATGGATTTTCCAAGTTGATGGCTCTGTTCAGCAGCTCTTGAGAAGGCAGTGAGAGTATTGGGGCAGCACTCCTGGAATGGAGACCTTTTCTTCCCAAATGTTCTTAAGTAGTCAGTGGGGTGGGGAAAGCGTGGGTGATGGGTGGGGGAGGGGAGCTGCTGAGCGTTATGGAGCACTTGTTCTTGATCTTACCTGTAGCTGTGGCCTGGACATAACATGAAATGTGAAAGGGCTGCTTGTGAAGTTCTGATTTTAGGTTTCCAAAAACAAGTGTGCAAGTATGGAACAGGAGGGGGAGAAATGGACTGAACAGAACAAAGTAGGAAAGAGGTGTCTGCTCTGTTTGTGTCTGCAGAATGATGTGGAGATGCTGGGATATGATTTTGGAAATGGACTATGCAGAACAAGGGTCCTGCGGGGCTCTGAAATGGTCAGACCGTCCACACCTGGATAGTTCTGGAGGCCACTTAGAAGTTATATTGAACAAATCACATAAAAACCAGGTTAAGAGGTTGAGAGCAACTGAAATAGTGAAGGAGCTATATGAATAGTCAGGAATCTCAGAAGAAATTGGCTTAGACGAGAGAAATGGTAGGGATAGTATGAGAGTTAATTTTAAATTAGATCTACTCTGTGCTAAATAAAGGGTAGAATTGGGACCAATGAGTGGAGTGCAGAGGAAGTTAAATTTTGCCTTGATATAAGGGAAATGTTTTCTAGTAAATTAAGATTTAGATAAGTAGTGTTATGTAGCATTTTCCAATAATGTGTTTTGTAAGATTGGAGGATAGATTTTTTAAATCTACCCAGGGCAGGTTAGGCAAATGCTATATCTTCTCTCTCCAAACTTCAAATCTACAGAAATTGCCTGAGATATACGCACATTTGAAAATAAGGAGGGTAAGGAAATTCTTCATGGAAGAGAAAACCGTGGGAGAAACCCCCCCCTGAAGAATAGGAGTCAGAAGTTTCAGTTCCGAGGAATGCTGAGAGGAAAAGACGAGCTCACAGAAAAAAACATCCTCCATCTGAGGAGAGCTGGCTCCATGAGGGAGAGGGACAGCCTCAAGGTTATAGATAACTTACTTTTGAGGAAATAGTTAATGGAGGCTCCTGGCGTTTTGGCTAGCCTGTTGGAGAGGCCTGGATTAAACAAATGCCCCCCGTCTCTTCCAGCTCTTAGAAGCCATTGACTGTGTATTAAAGGATGAAAGAATTCTGTTTTTGAAACCATTGTTGGTAGCCTCTGGCTTGAGTTATCCTGAGATAATCTTAAGTGTGTGTGTGTGTGTTTTACTAAAAGCTTTGAGAGGTCTAGATTCAGTGGTGCTTCATAGACTTGTGCTGTCACTTTGCTTACAAAGTCAGAGGGATACTAGGTTAGGAATTAGTTTTTAATATGGAAAACTATTAGAAAGCAAAGCTTAAACAAATGAGCTGGCTTATTAGAAATGGCCTTTATAGAGCATGTCTTGGCCCTCAGTGACCTCAGGTTAGCCTGGATTGGAAATAGAGGCTGGGATGTAATAGGAAACAGAGTAAGGCCAGAGCCAGAGCAGGAGCTAGAAGCCACAGTGGGGCAAAGGGCAGCCCTGGACATGCTTTACAGGGCTTCTTGGAGCAATAGGTGAAATAGTATGGGACAAAGGGAGCTGGCCAAAATGGGACGAGTCATCCTGAGTCCAGGTGAGTCTAAACATCATACAGATTATTGGTGCGCTGTTTATAGGATGGGATTCTGTTCGAGTGCAGTAGTGGAAAGACGGGTAGAGCTGCAGCTATTTGCTGTTGGTCTGGGTATGGAAAGTGACTGTGTAGGGTCACTTTTGTCCTATAGTGCTTATTGGCTGCTATGAATAGCACTGTCCTGTCTTTGGACTTGAGACATGTTTTCTAGAGTTTGAGGTGTACAGAGAGGCACTGGTACCTCTGGATTATCTGATGCCCTGTCTCTGTCCTCCCCTGTCTTGCCTTCTGCACAGAATCATGCACACACTGCACCCCTCCTCTGGTAGTGGCCTTTTGCTAACCCTTCATGCCCAGTTTCTCTGGAGGAGGGCAGCTCACGAGTATCTGGGGATCATCACAGGGAGGCCCTCGCCCAGGCGATTCTGCCCTTTTAAAATGACTCCTCATCTACCTACCTCTTTTCCTCTCCACTCCTGACTTTGACAGTCTTTTGGCAATAATTGTTGGTATAATTTTAAAGAGCATTGATTTGCCTCACTTTGATTTGATGTGTGGCTTCAATTGCACAATTTAACTCTCTGGAGCTTTAGTTTTTTCCTGTGGAAAGTGGGAATGGTAATGTCTACTTCTGGAGATTGTTGTAAAGATTACGTGACATGATATGTGTAGTTGGCACATATGTCAGCCCAGATTGAACCCCAGAGATATATAGAAGCCGCATCATAAAATTACAGTAGCAATATGATAATGATATCCCCAAATTGATAGAGCCTGTGGCACTTTGAATTGGTGGCCCTAGCTTTCAAAGCCTCATTTCTGCTACATGCATGATTATTTTTATTTTATTTGTTATTTGTTTTTGTCATGTGGCTGAGGTCTCTGTACAAGTCAGACATTTGTCATGCTTGTCTGTTGTTTAGAGCTTTTCTTTTTTTTTTTTTTTTTTTTTTT